CCAACACTGGCGTCGACACGTTGCACAGCTCCGGCGCTGGCGAAGGCGGCACCTACCGAAACATCACCGAGGGCGGCACCCAGGGGGGCGAAAACTTTCCCGAGCGGGCCGATGCCGTCCTCATCTTCGTGCCCGGCTGGGGCAAGCGCGGTGTTTTGATCGGCCTCGGCGGGGGTGCCAATGAACAACTCACTGAGAACATGGAAAAGCTGGATGTATATGACATTGAGACCTCCGAGTGGTACAAACAGGAGACTTCTGGTGATAAGCCGCCAGTTCGAGTCAATCCATGTGCCGTCGTTGCCAGCGCGCCGGACGCGTCCAGCTTTCAAATCTACCTCTTTGGAGGCCAAGATCTGGCTACTGTGAGTATCGCAGTGACTTGACCATACACCATAGGATACTAACAGCACCAGGACAATCAAACCCAATACAACGACATGTACATCCTAACCATTCCCGCCTTCCACTGGATCCGCGTCGACAACGGCGACTCGTCCTCCGTCCCCGCCCCTCGAGCAGGCCACACGTGCACAATGCGCGACGGTCAGATGATTCTCGTCGGTGGCTATGTCGGCGAAGATATTTCATGTGACTCGCCCGGCATCTATGTCTTCAACGCCTCCTCTCTACAGTGGGCCGATAAATTCAACGCTGGCGATCACGATGCCGACATAAGCTCGGACAATCTGGTCCTGGCCAACTCATGGGGCTACCGCGTCCCCGAGCCCGTTCAGAAGGTTATTGGTGGCAACGCGGACGGCAGCGCGACTCTCACCACGCCCTCCAGCGGACCGGCCACTGATGGACCTTTCGCAACAGGCAAGCCTCCCGTCTTCACGATCACCGAGAGCGGCGCCACGGCAACTATTACGCAACCTGCTCCGGGTGCCACAGGTGGCAACGCCAACACGCCCAGCGAGGGCGACAATAGCGGAGACGACGGTGGGGGTAGCTCGAACGCTGGACTTATTGCCGCCGGCATTATTGCAGGCATCTTTGCCCTGTTGGCCGCGTACCTCGGCTGGTGCGCGTGGCTGTACCGCCGCCAGGTCGCCGCCTACAATCAGCACCTCGCCGTGGCGAACCGTTACCATGGGGCCTCGAACGCGTCATTTGGACTCGACATCGTATCGTTCGACGGCCTCCTGGGCCGTGGTCTATC